ATAATTCAATAAAAAAAATATATATTAGTACTGAATGTTCAACAAAATACACTTTCAAATTTGTCACTACAAAATATTAAAATGAAACAAAATAATTTTTTATTTTTTAATATTTAGGGATTTGGTCCCCACGGATCCTCATCCCCGTATGTTTCTCGTTTTGACCAATTTGAGGATGGGAACAAAAATGGGGATAAAGTTCCCTTTTCGGGATGGGGATCCTTGCCCCTACGTACCCATCCCAATTGTCATCCCTATTTATTTGGATTGATATAGAACCAATAACAATAATACTATACTTACAAAGAAATTTTATAAAGATTTCCATATAAAGTGAGGTAGCAAAAAATGAATAGAAGAGTAAAACAAAAAGTCAAACTCATTAAATTCACTCTTCCATTCATTTTTTGCCATATCACTTATTATGGAGATCTTTATAAAATTTCTTTGTAAGTGTAGTATTAATCAACCAATATCACCTCCCTCTGTTTTAATATACAAAAAAACTGAATAATGATAAAAAGCTAGAAAAAGACAATGAACAAGGGCATCTATATACACTAACATTAGTACGTCGGATATACAACAAGGATGCAAAAGGGTCTTTATTTTTCTATATTTAAGGATTGACTTATCTTATTTAAACTAAACTTTTATTTCATTATTTTATTAGTATTAGAATGGAGTAATATTCCATATTATATTTGTGAAAGAGACAAAATCACTTTGCCCCCATACTCTCAAAAGGTTGCCCATACCCTCCATAGTTTCTAAAATTCATCAACTAAGGACCAAAACAGTAAAAACCACTGGCAGAGCTAAGAATCCAAGTGAGGAAGGGCGAATTTTAAAAAAATGATATAAGTGACATTTTCAACATAACGATAAATATTAAAAATTTAATAATTAGTAATATTTTTTTACTCAATATAATTACAATTGTTTCAACGTGTTTTAATGTTTTAAAAAGGGAGAACGACAATTTCCCACCCAAGGTTTGGTGAAACAACACTTTCCCACCCGTGAAGTTTTGAAACGACACTTTCCCACCCAACGTTATGTTCCGTTAGCAAAATCTGTTACTATTTGATTGTAAAGACAAAAATACCCTTTATTGTTTGATTTAATAATTTTTTTATTATATGTCATGTTAACAAAATCAATTACCAATATACCCACTCTTAAATACGAAATTATTAATATGCCCTTAACTATATATGAAAATATAAATTACCAATTTGTCCCTCCATTTTTTTATTAAAAATAATGTTTTAAATCAATGAAGTTACAATTAGATTTTTAAAAATTTGAAACCTTTAAAATTACCAATTTATCCTTGTAGTTGTTGCAACGCATTTATATTTAAATTTTGTCAATTTAAATCCAAATAAAACTAAGTATCAACATTACTACATTCTTAAATAAGAATCCAGATTGTAAAATTACAGTGCATATGTATAAGTAATTTTGTCAATTCAAACCCAATAAAAATACGGAATTCAATACAAAGAAAGAAGCTTTTCCAGTTTCTCATTCATTTCTCAAAATCCAAAAAAATTTGCTTTCACCCTCCCTCTTTCTAAATCCTTGAAGCTTGATTTTCCTTTGCTTTCTAGATCTTCAAAGCCTTCTTCACAATCCTTTGCTCTTNCCTGTCAACATTGTTAAACAAGTCAAATAAAAGAAATAATACTAACTTTAAAAAACCTAGGGTAAACTAAATTAAAAACCATTTAAAATAGAATTTCTTAGATAATAAGTAATTTATATTTATCAAGTTTAGAAAAAGATATTTGCTTTACAATTTCTTTACATGCAATGACTTGAATTAAATTTATACAACATGGGTCTTATTTATTTATAGTCTAACTATGTTTTTTATTTTGTTTTTGGACATGATTATTGGTTTGGATAATTTAAAAAATATAGAGACTATTTTGGGTGTAATTATAATTTTATAAAACTTATGGGGTTTGGAAAGTTTCATGGATGGCACTGGCCCTAGTAACGACGTTGAAGATGTCGTTAATTATTTACGAGCCATGGGCTATTGACATTACGCCCCTTGTAACTTGAAAGAGTAATACTACACGTACAACATTTTTATATAACATTATGTGACAAAATATCATTGGTTGATTTTAAATTAAAATTGAACTTTTACCCAATCATTTTTAGTCACATAAAATTGTATATGCAGTGTTATTCAACTTGAAAAACTTAACTTTAAATCTCATAACTATAGAAACTACCAAGAACACCCCTTGCCATTAGATTTTGCTATTAAAATTCATTTATATATGGTTAAATTAGTCTTTTCACCTACAAATATTTTTTTTAAAAAAAAAAACTCGGATATAAAAAAGGAAATTCAAGCTGACAATAAAAAAGTGTAAAAGGAAATTTGAAAAAAAAAATAAGTTTTGCAGCTGGAGATTGAAGATCACAAGTGGATATAAAAAAGAAATAAATGTTTATAAATATATATATAAGGGTAATGCTATTTGTACAAACTCTTATACAAAAGAGAGTTTGTACAGACTCACGTGGCACGTCATAAAGCATGCCGAGGGTAATGCTATTTGTACAAACTCTTATACAAAGAGAGTTTGTACAAACTCACGTGGCACGTCACAAAGCATGCCATGTGGCATTATGACCCATTTAACTTAATGTTATATGGGCCTTCATATCACGTGGCACTCACATGATGTGCTATGTAAGTTTGTACAAATTCTCTTTGTACAAAGAGTTTGTACAAATAATATTATCCTATGATTATATACATGTTAATGACATGGATCAAATTTTTTACATTTAACTCCACTACAAAGGGTTATTATATCAACTTCTTCATAATCATAGATAATGAAATATTAAGGGCATTCACTATTTTTGAAAAATATCATATTATTATATATGTATAATCCGAGTTTTAATATTAATACTTTTTCAGGGGATAAATGATAATTTCGGGGTATACATATTTTAAAATCATGGGTGCATTTTTTATTTGATTATCTCAAGGGTTGAATTAGTGTAGACGACATATTCTCACTCGGGGTTTGGCAAAATCCTAAGTTGGTACCCTTAATTGTATTTATTCCAAATTTTTACCCTTAAAGTGACGGAAAATTATTTAATGTAACAGTAAATGGGTAAATTGGTCTTTTTGCAGAGGCGATGCACATTAGCAGATCGTTGCCTCTAATAGTGCTCTGGCGCACATTAACAAACGTCGCCCTCGACGTTTTTCGCCCTTTTTTGGCGATTCTTCCACCCAAAATCACTCTTGTCACCACCATTCAAACTCCCATCCTCCTCTTTACCAAACCTTGCTCTTCATAACCCCTCATCACTTGCTGATTGCCGGCCATGGTAGCCGCATCATGCGACTATTTTTTGCTGGTTTCGACCATTTTGAGTGGCGACAACCCCAACCATCACCATCGTTTGACTCCTTCCATCCCCCCTACAAAACCCCTAATCTTCTTGGCCACGATAGTTCACCGTTTGTCATCCACCACTTCACTAAAAAGCGCAATGAACATGAACCTCTCGACCAACGAACAGTGACTAAACAGTTGGTGGGGACATAAGGGTTTTGTAGGATTGGAGACGCTGGTTGCAACGGTGGTGTCCAATTGGATTTTTGCTGCCAAAATCGACCAGAATCCTGTGAAGAACAACGAAATCATAAACTTAATGATGCCGACGATCAGAGGGGCCAATGAGTCGAGAACGAAAGGGGTTTTGGATGACAGACTATGGGGAAGGTGATAGAGGTGACCAGGGGTTTAATGCCATCGAAAACAACCCAGATCAAGCAAAACAGAGAGGGTGTGTAGTTGTTGAGGGTGTTATTGAAGTAATTTGAAAATAAAATGGCTAACATATAATTCTACTAATTTAGGGGTAAATTTTTTTTATTAATTTATTTGTTAAGGGCGTTATGTTAATAGCACTCTACGAACCTAAAAATTACTAACAATCATGGCTGCGTTTGGTTCAATATTATTTTCCATATTCTGGACCGGATTTTTTAAATAATGTTTGGTTTATTATTTGCACAATCCCATCTTCATAATATTTTTTCTAACAGCTTTTTTGACTTTTTTTTTTTTTTTTTTTTTACCATTGGCTTTTATTTTTCTCAGTTTGCTTCATTATTCTTCACTAACATTTCCCACTTTCTCACTTCACCATTTCGCTTTCTCAGTTCCGTATTTTGAATGGAATGAACAATTACCCGTTGGACAAACAAGAGAAGATTGTTATGGTATGTTATGTACTTTATAATTTTATCAGAATGTACAATATGGATGACCGTATCTTCGAACAAACCAATAATAGTACGGATAATGAGCAAATATATTGTGATCGTCAAAACAGGGCAGAATATGACCGAAATGGAGAAGGGCCGAGTCAACCACAACAAGGTATTATAGACAACATGACGACTGTACGAGATAATATAACGAATGAACTGTGGGCAACAGAGTGGACCATGTCGTAGTTGTTAATGGAGTAAACATGTAAGAATAATTGTAAGGGTTGATAATTAGTACTTTTATCATATATGTATTAATGTGATGTGTTTTAAACAGTTGGATTAGTACTTGAAATTAATATGAGTTTTTGTTTTTTAATATTTATGGGTGACAAAATTACCAATAAAATATTTAATATTATTAAAATGTAACTGGATAAGTTATATATATAATAATACATTATTTTAACAAAATGCAACAAAATATTATATTAATAAATCATTTATAAAAAAATATATCAATCAACTATTCAATACAAATATCAAGGTCAAAATACTCTACCAAGCACATATTTTGTAAATCTTATTCTTGTAATCATAACCCTACTTAATTATTCAATATTATTCTCAAAATCCTATCCAAAATAATGAACCAAAACGCAACCCATACTTTTTAAGGGGGAAAATGTAGAATAAATACAGGATAATATGCGTTTACTCGTTGAATTATAATAATATAATAACCTAATTACAAGTGAAACTGAATGCTCATAGTGAACAAAGCATCAAATTTAGCGTGGTTTGAACTCTAGAGAAGTTGTGGGAAGGATGGCAGAATCCGAGAAGTCGAAAGACCTCCAAGAAACACTCCAGCCCTTCTACGATAGAGCCTCTCAAGCCGAGGTTTGAACTTCACTTCATTAACTTCTTTTTCTCAAGATTTTATGTTTTTTGTTTTTTTGTAATAAAGAGGATTAAGATTCTTTATTAAAATTTTAGTTCATTATTGTTAGATAGGAGATTAAATAATCATGTTGATGGGTTCTGTTGGAAAATGCATGAAAGCCACCATTTTTAATAAGAAGCTCGTTAACTGGGTTTAAGAACCTAAGGCTGGTACTGAATCTGCTCTACCTTATCTCACCATTCATTTCGAGTTTTTTATTTTGCTTTCTTTAATATGTGGTTACTAGTTTTTAGTTTATCTTATTTAAGTTTTGTATATTTTGGTCCCACATGAAATTAACTTAACTTGAATCATGCCTTGTGTTTAGAGCAAATTTACACAAACTTATCTTTACTGGTTTGAAAATTGATCGATTCGTTTTTATGTTCCCTAATTTTGTAATACAGAGGATTTTTTTTTAATGAAATTTGTTTTTAGATATTTGAAAATAAAGAGTTTCATAAATTTTAGAAGGATGAGTTCAAGTTAAACTTCCTATAGCTCTCCTCTAATCTGAACGTTTAATCTTAGTTCAAGGAATTGGGGTGTGATTATTGCCATTGTTTGATGAAAATAGTTAGTTATATGTTTTGTTTTTGTTTTAATTTTTGTTCGATCAAAACTGTGAACTAACAATTTAAAATGATGCATCCTTATGTTGAAAAATATGCATTTGATTCCTGAAATTCATGTTCACGATCTTTTGGCTTATGGGATTTTTTGTGTGTGTGTGTGTGTTATTTCGATTTTTGAGATAGTAGCCTTTGGCTTTTGTTGAACTGAGTTTTCTAGTGAGCTGAACATGATAGCAGAAAGTTCAATTGCATATATTTTATGTGGAGTTAGGTTTTTATTTTCATGCCCTACATGGTTGTAATTAACTGTATTAGAGATTCAAGAACATATAAATGGGATATGTGCATTTTGCATTGTAGGAAGTTATATAGATTATTTTTAGGTGTACTTAATTCGCTGGTTTTGACAACTTGCTGGATCAGCTTATTGGTTATATAGTCCATTTTATGTCTGCTCTTGATTAGTCAGTAATGGAAACTTATCACTACTAGATTAGCTTATTGGATGAATATTGATGGCTGATAGTTCCCTCACTGGGGTTGGATGGCTTCCATAATGTACTGCCAGTCCCGCTACATGCAGTTAACAAAACCTTTACTATCCTTTTGTTTCTCTCTTAGTTTAATTGAGGGTTTATTTGTTCTTATGGAAAGTACATCTCTAAAGTTTTTTTGAGCAGAGCTTTTTCCTTTTTGCTCAGTCACTTATATTAATTTTATGGTGAGGGAAAATTAGTGATTCTTCTTTGACTAGCTTTGGGAGAAAGTTATCAAATCATAATTCTTTAAATTGAAAAATTTTCTCTAAAAGGAAATGGAAGATAGAATTATAAAAATGTGTGGAGTGAGACTCTTGAACCTTTTCTGTAAATCCTTTTTCTCCTGGCCGAGTCATGGCTCTGATATTCCTCTCTTTGAGCTGTCAAGATAGATTTGGAAGGTTAGCGTTCCTTGCAAAGTGAAAATTCTGGCCTGGACAATTGCTCAAGTGAAGGTTAACGCCAATGATATAATTCACAAGAAAAGACTTATGTTAAGTCTATGGTGCTTTACTTGCAAAAAAGGGGCTGAAAACATAGACCAGATCTTCTAGGATTGCCCTGTTGCTTTGCATCATTGGTCCAGCTGTTTCAGCTCTCAACACTCTGATGCAGCCCCAATCTGTCTCTTCTTTTTGGTTGAAAGTGCACTGGTTTCTGGTATGGAAAGAAAGCTTCAGTGCTTTGGAGATGTAATGATGGCCATTTTGTGGTGATCTGAAATTAGAAACAATAAGGATATTTGATGATGTTATTGGGGAGGAGGTCACATTACTTTGGGACAAGGTCGGATTTTGGACTTCCCTTTGGGCTTCTGTTTCTTCTGAGATTGACAAAGTTCTCTTTTATTTGTCCTCCACGACTTGGAAGCTGCATTGTCCTTATCAGGAGTTATTTCCACATTATTTTCCAGTTGCTTGTTTTGGGGTTTGCTTTATGCAGACAGAGGAGGTGGCTTTTCTTTTCGTTTGAAATCCTCCAGGTCTTTTTTTTTTTGGTTTTTTGTGTGGACTTCAAGTCCACTCTCTAAACCCCTTCTTGTAAATCATTAATTTCTCATTATTTTAATTTTCTTGCTATCTATTCGAAAAGAATTAGCCACTAGACATGCATGATGCATCTTAGAGGACACAATTGTGGGTTTTGTGTTCCAGAGATTAAAAATTAAGGTCTAACCCCTCCTAAGGTGTGATTTTTAATTTTCTTACAAAGCTTTGTCTAATTTTCTAATACTTCCAGCTTCTACATAGACAACTTTTGGAGTTTGTTTTTACACTTACTGTATCTCGTGCACCAAAATGATAAGCAGTTCTAGAGCTGATTGAAAATACTTATGCCACTGCTCTTCTATTGGTTGGCTACTGAGGTGCTATTTTTTGCTTGTAACAATATCACATGCACTTAACTCCGAGCAGTAATGGAGCTGCTTGGAAATAGTTACGCTACTACTCTGGAAATATAATGGAATTGATTTCTGCTCTTATGGAATAAAGATCTTGTTCTCTGAACTTATCTACAATTATGTAGATATCTTAACAGTTGACCTTATTGGCCATCTGACCAGTATCCTGTGATTTATAGAATTCTGCTGATATCAAAGTGGTTATGAATTTCTTCTGCCACCCTCCCACCCTTTCTTTTACCAGAAATAATAAGGATAAGAAATTAAAATAAGAATAAATAAAGAAGAATTATATATGTGTGTTTGTGTGTATGAAAATTGTAGCTTTATCATTAAATTTTAATATATGGCCTGATGAATAATGTTGTTTTCATGATTAGTTTTTTGGAACTTGTGTGTTTATGGAATGCATATGGATGGAAAACATACTAAGGAATAATAATAGTGACAGTGATTATTAATCTGTTAAACTTTCAATTCTTTTCCATCATTTCTGACATCTAACAAGTTTGTAATTGTACTAAAGGAACGCTTATCCAGGCTCCAAGCTTCCCTTGCAAATAAGAAAGGTGGGTTGTAAGGTACTCAATTTGATATGGTTTCTGGGTGGGCTAAGTTGAGGTCCTAACATTATCACCTGCATTTTGAAACTAGTGCAGATGGAAGAAATGAGGAACTCTTAAAAACTATAAGTGAGCTTCAGTCAAAGCTAGAAGATGCAAATGCAGAGGTTGTTTCAGAAAGGAAAAAGGTGATTGCATGTGTGTACTTGGTTCTTGTTTTGATTGGAAATTGATGGACAGAATTACATTCCTTTGACTTTGACTGTAGGCCGAGAAGCTTGCCGTAGAAAATGAAAAACTCAATTTTCGTGTAAAACATCTCATCCGAGCACTGGAGGCGGCTGATCTCAACTCCAAGATAATGTGAGGTATGGTATAAATTAATAGCTATATTGACACGATCAATATTTTGAATGCTTAAAAGTTAAAAGTATTTATGTTTATCATCAGTCATATGATCTTAACCAGGAGTCTTACTATTTTCATGTTTGTTTGCTTGATAAATTTTGGTGGCCTTCCTGTTAGATAGGATCACTTTTTTTTTTTTTTTTCTAAGATCTTACGCACATTTTGGTTGCTAGAGCAACAGCTAAGTTCCATGTATTCTATCACAATAATTAGTTGAAAATTGAGATTCTACCAAATGACTCAAGCGTCCAAAAATTGATTTCAGGACCAAAAATTGAAATAATGCCCTGGAATTATTCATCGCCTTCAACTTATGTCACATATTCCATAATTGGCAGTTGCAATCAGGACCAAAAATTGAAATAATGCCCTGGAATTATTCATCGCCCTCAACTTATGTCACATATTCCATAATTGGCAGTTGCAACAGTGTACAAATTTATCTGGGTTTAGTTTAATACAGGTCTTCCTCATGCCGGTGCTTGAACCTGATGCATGGAATTCTTTGGTTTATGCAGGCCCCGATTCAGAAGCAACTGTATTGGCCATCTCAAAGTTGAAGAAGACAAATTGTGAACTAAGATGACGACTTACATTAGTTGACGGATGGAAGATATATAGGCTACTCTATTCTTGGAGAATGGTAATCCTCATGTTCATACTAATTACCCTTTGTTCAGGGAGCTTTTAAAAACATGTCCCTTTAAATTAGACATGGCAAAATCATGAATATGAACCTCCTTTGCTGAGGGGAAGGATTGTACATCATTTGGACTTTGATTCTATGGCCAATAAGTTTAATGGTTGTATTTTGTTAACTAAAGAAGCCGGAATGAGTTTTTGTGATGCACCCAACCTCATGTATGAATGTCTCATTTTAGTGAAGCTTAATTTTAACTTATCTATTGCATTAGAGTAAACCACATGTTCCCACCTGAAGTTTAGCGAAACAGCAATTTTCCACCTTTGGTTTCATTTATTTCAGATTTCCACCTTTAAATTAATAGAAAACTGCTAAAGTAACAGTCAAGGGGTAAAATGGTAATTGAACCCACCCATTCCAAGCCAGTGACCACCACCATATCCATCCCACCCTATTCTTCTTCTTCTTCTTCTTCATCTCCCCCGTCCCCTTCCTTCGGTCTTCATCTTCTTCATCTTCTCAGCCATCATCATGTAACTTCATCATCCTTCAACACATGCATCCTTCAATAAAAGCTCCCTTAAAAATCTCATCACATTTAATAAGCAAATCACTGTTTTAAAAACAGGATTGGACCGATCGGTCCAACCGGTTGGATCGAAAATCGGTCATATGTTCGGTTTGAGTCAACATTAAACACGTTAGTATGCATTAAACCGCTTTAACCCGGCCAAAACCCGGATAAAGTCAATGAACCGTCGGTCCAATCGGACCGGCGGATAAACCGGTTTGATTTCAAAAACCCCTAACCCTACGCAATCGCACTATCGCAGCCCATTCCATTGATTTCCTTTCTCTGTTTCTCAACTTCTCTTTCTCAATTTCTCTACTAAAATTTCTTAGATTTCTCAACTTCTCTTTGAAAATTTCTCTTTGAAATCCCACTCAAATCGCAATCAAATTGTAACTAAGATGGCTGTGGCTTTGGCCGGAGAAGATCTAACGAGAACGATGAGCCTTCGCTTGACGATGCAGTTGGGGAGTTGGTGGAAGTGGATGGCGTCTGCAAGTCTGGCGTCAGCGTGCATCCGGGAGGCGTGGAATTCACAAACAATTGTGTTTGCACAGAGCCAACGGCAGGATGATGAAGAGGAGCTGAGGTGGGCGGCAATCAAACGGCTGCCCACGTATGATCGGTTGAGAAAGGGGATGCTGAGGCAGGTTCTTAAGAACGGGAAAATTGTTCACGATGAGGTGGATGTGACGAGATTCGCTATGGAAAATGAGTGGTTTAGAGTTAGTAAAACAATAAGATGTGGTCAACAAAGTTTGCTTTGGGAGTCAACAATAAGATTGGTTTGAATTTTATGAAGCCGGCGAGCATTAGATATGGTCAATTCATACCAACTTTTAATCCATTTTCTCTGTTAATGACGTCATACTCTTGTTTTCATGAACCAAAACAAGTAAAGCCAACAAGCTATCTTATTAAAACGGCAGCAACATCTATCACTTTGAAAATCATACGACATTAAGTATTATTACATTTTTAAAAAGTATATTATAAACTTTTTACTTGGAATCTTATATTTTAAATTTAGTATCTATTTAAATTAAATTACAAGTTTTAACTTATGATTTCCATTTTTTACTGAAATTTACATAGATGATAGTGATGGTTATGATGATGATGATGGTGATGAATTTTGATGCTAATGTGTGAAGCTCAATCAACATGGAAACGGATTAAAGAAAAAACACTTGCATCAAATGTTTTGTTATTAATTATTATGTATTTTGTCATTTAACATGTAAATACAACATCATATTTGGATTTGGACTTTGAATTATTATTAAATACTTAAATTATGTTGGGATTATTGTTGAATTTGAACTTTGAATCATGTTAGACAGTAATTAAGTTGTTATTGTCTTATTAAAAAATAGAAATCCGAAATTTTTTTTTTTTTTAAAAATATACTGATGTCATCATGATGTGTGATGACGTCACCAGTCCAACCGACGGTCTAACCGGTTGGACCGGTTGAACCGTGACCCGACCAGTAGAGCGGGTTGCCCTCCGGTTCGGTTTTTAAAATAATGAAGCAAATCCTAAAAATTATTCATGCCAAAAATGAAATCTAAAACACAAAGATTCCATATTTTGATTTCCTTGTGGCAATTACCCCATCCTGTAGTTCACCCCAAACAGCACCATGCCGGCAATCCTCCTTACCGATAACTTTCCAGCGGCCTTCTTCCGAAGCAGCAACATCTCAACATCAGCAGGCTTCTTTGGCCTCGATTTGGATGCGTTTTAGAGAGAGAGTGAATTTTGACTTGTGGTTGTTTTTGGATGGGTTTTTGGGTGGGTTTGCGGCTGACTTTGTGGTGGTTTGTGGCTGAATTTCTGAGTGATTTGGTGGTGGTTTGTGACTAAATTTGTGAGTGATTTGGTGGTGGTTTACGGTGGTTGTTTGGTGGCGACGAGGTTGACTTCATGGTTTAGAGGGACTGCGACGATGGTGGTGGTGACTTTGGGGTTTCGGTGGTGATGGTGTTGAAAGGTGGTGTTGGTGGCTGGATCCTGGATGGTGATGGTGGCTGGATCCTGGATGGTGATGGTGGCTGGTTGGAGGTGAAATTAAAAGTTAAGGATAATATGGTAATAGTACTCTCTGCAGTTGCTTTATAAATCAAAATTCATAACAATGTTAATTTAAAGGTGAGAATCTGGAATAAATGAAACCTATGGGTGGAAACTTTCCATTTCACTAATCCTTGGATGGGAACATGTCGTTTGCTCATTGCATTATATCTCTGTTCAACAGTTCATTTATATTGAATGTTGACAATACAATTGCATTATAACCTCAAATTTTCTTCTAAAAAGTTAAGAGTGTTGTACAGTAATTTTATAAGTAAGCCCCATATTATTTAATATTTGAAATTATAATTTTTTTTGTTAAGTGAAATTAGTTGGATCGCCCTCAAGTATATGTAAATTTTCTTTTGACTGCTCTCGTCTGTCAAATACTTGTGTCTTTCTAAACCTAGCAAAGAGATTCTTAAACCAATAAAATAAAGAAAGATAAGCCCAAGATTAATTGATTCAAAAACCAATGTAAACAATGATCCGAGAACGATTGAAGCAATAAAATTTCTCTTCATTCATTACACATGGCGTATTACTCCAAGTCCAGTAAATTTTGACTAGTTAATTAAATTGAGAAATAACTAAGAAATTCTGTCAAATAATTTAACATTCAATCAACAAAAAATCATTTTTTGTGACATCCAAAGTTGTTGGTGAAGGAATTAAATGCACCGGTCCAACCGGTTTTTGGAAAAAACTGGGTGAATCAAACACCAAAAAATGGAGACTTTCGATTGACGTTTGGTGGCAAACATGAAAGGGTTTTGAAGGGTGGATCACAGTGAGTTTGGAGGTGGTGTCTGATTAAGTTTTAGTCGCCAGAATTTGGCCAAGAAACGGCGAAACCTTAGCTTCTGATTGTTGGCGATTGGTGGGTAGAATGGCTTGGGAACTTTGGAGGTTTTGTAGGGGAGTAGTCGGTGAGTCTAAGGGTGGTGGTGGATGGAGTTGTCGTTACTCAAAACGGCCAAAATCTGGCAAAGGACCGTAAAAAAAACACGTTTTCCGTCATCGGCGATTGGTGGGTGGAATGGTTTGGGAACTTTGGGGAGTTTTGTAGGGGAGTAGTTGGTGAGTCTAATGGTGGTGGTTGGAGTTGTCGTAGCTCAAAACTGCCAAAATCTGGCAAAGGATAGCCAGGAAAACATGTTTTCCGTCTTCGACAATTGGTGAGTGGAATGGCTTGGGAACTTTGGGGGTTTTGTAGGGGAGTAGCCGGTGAGTCAAAGGGTGGTGGTGGTTGGAGTTGTTGTCACTCAAAATGACCGAAATATGGCAAAGGACAGCCAGAAAAATACATTTTCTGTCATCAACGATCTGCGAGTGATGGGAAGGGATAAAGGGTATGGTTTTGAAGAGGAGAGGGTGGAGGTTTTAATGGTGGTGACATGTATGATTTTGGGTGAGAAAACAGTCGAAAAAAGGGAAAGAAGGCCGCGTTGATGCGTGCTAATGTGGGCGGGAAACAATCGCCATGCTAACGAGCATTGAATTAAAAGATTTTGAAATTTTTTTAGTTGTCACATCACCGGTTTGACCCACTATTCAAACCAGTCAACCTGGGACCCGACTTCTTTTTTGGGTTTAGCCCCAAGTTGGTTTTTAAAATATTAGACTAGACTAGAAATTAAAGTATCTAAATCTGGGGGTGGGTTGGAGATAATTTTTATCCTAAATTATGAGTGCTAATATTTAAGCCCTACAAAACTTCATTTTAATTTTTAAGTCCCAACAATAACTGAAAACATTTTAAAAAGTCAATTTGTGTAGAGATATCCATAATTACCCCTACTTAATATTTTTCTTTTGAAATCTCTTTCTTAAATCCATTACCCTATTTTCCTCTTCGATTAAATATCAGTTATCCTTCTCCTTCCGTGTTCATCTTTTGTTTTGGGAAATCAATCTTTGTGTATTCCTTTTAACATCTGCATATTTCCTCTTCAAATCTTATCCATAATATATTTTTTTTTTATTATTTTCATACGGTTTATTGATTAGCAATGAGAAAGTGTTAAAGATAATTTTTTTATTCTCCTTTTACTTTTTTAGTTTTCATTTTTCCTCCACATAGAAAACAAAGATATCAATAACTCCAATATTAAGGGTTTGCTTGGGAGTTTTTTTTTCCACTAGTTTTGGGGGGTTTTTAATTAGATTGGTTTTGAGGTGTTCTAAAACAATTATTTGCCAAATTTTTTATGCACTGGTTTTGACTGACTCAAAAACCCCCCAAAACCCAAACATCAACCAACCTCTTAATCCATATTAATAACTCAAACATTAAAGAAAAATTAACAACTTCCTTTTTCTTCATTATTTTCTTTCCATTGATTGAACCCACCTTTCATTTTTTTTTAGTCTTAGAACTAGAATTTAAAACTTATTCTAAACATAGTTTAAAAGAAAATGTAGGAAGTAGAGTTTTAAGAAAGAAACAGTCTTCTAATATTTGGGGTGTACTAAAAGATTAAACGACCTTTTGGTAATTAAAAGTTAAAACAAATATATATACATATATGTATTGGAAAATATTATCAGGGTTTAGAATGAGATTTAGAGGGGCTTAAATAACATCACTCCAGAATTATTTTTGAGC